AGCTTTCATGGGAGAAGCATTCCCAGGTGGAAGGCAGGGCCCAAAACATGTCCTTCACACTGCCCCTGTGCTCTCATGAATGCAGGCAGTGCCCATTCGTGCATGCAAGACGGGCTGCCGAACTGAGCCCCAGTGACCTTTTCCATGCTGTTGAGAGAAAGAGGGCGGGCACAGGTGTCACCCTACCAGGAGAGGTGGAACGAGTGGCACAGGTGATGGGGCAGGTACAACTTTAGCGATCCTCTGGAGCCGGGGGTCAGACTAGATGGCCCTGGACTTCTGACTTGCTCTGTTTCTATGTTTCTCTTCCATCCTCCATGGAGCTCTGCTGATGAGCTTCACGCTCTACCCTGGTCAGTCCCAGACCAAAGTCCACCAGGTTGTCGCCCTTTCATGCTCTGTCCACGTGAGCCATCCTGACTCCAGTAAATCAGAAAACCAGCACCGACACCTCTTCTCTGTTTGCAGCAGCCCTATCTGTTCCATTAGCAGGGCTGCCACTGTTGGACTGTAGGGATTCTGATACTTGGGAATAAGGCCCTTTAAATTCTCAATCCAAGGAGAAAGAAGCCTCAGCTACAGTCAAGGTCTTGCTGAGAATGTGCAGAGTACTTGCCCTGGGAACAGAATGCGTACTGCCCATCCTGGGTAAAGCAAAACATTTGCTTACCCAGATGTTTTGGAAATTAGCATCAAGAGACAAATGGAAGTCTAGAGCAGAAACAATGGCCAGAAGCTTTTACAGTTCCCAGCTACATCAATGTTTGAAACTGAAGTTTGCTGAAACTCTGCTTTGTGTATTGCCTAGGAACAGAAGCCATGGCTTGGTACTGGTTTGTCTGAACCAGAGGTGGACTGCAGAGGGAAGCTGTCGTTTGTTTAAACTTTAGTTGGTTTGAAAACACCATCGTTTACCAAGGTTAGATATAAAGGGGAACTGTGGTTTATTTAAAACTGGGAGAAAAAGCAACACATCATCTCCTCTAAGGCAGAGAAGGAGTGGCCAAACACCATGCGTTCCCATTACTGAAGCATTACATGGGGAAGATCCCAGGTTCAAATCCCCGGGGTCTCCACGTAGTTCTGGGAAACATTTCTATCAGAAACCTTGAGAACTGATTCTAGCCAGCACTGGCTACAGCGGGAAATTGCATGGCCTCCTAGGTTCCATTTTATCTATTAAGACATTTCTTATCTGCCTGTCATGATAAACTAATTCCAAAGCTGACTGGCAAGCAGTAAAACACAGTAGATTAATGCAAAACCAGCAAATGCTACTGGATTGGAGCCCATAAACACGTGAACATGAAATCATCAGAAGAGCCTGCTGGTTCAGACCCTGGCTCCATCCATTCCCACAGGAAGGCGTTCCCCAGCAACTGGTACTCACAGACATATTGCCTCTGATCTGGAGGCAGATCATGAGGACTAGTCACCAGAGATGGCCTTTTTATCCAGGAATCTGCCCTGTCCCCATTTCAAGCTTTGCACATCTCTACAACTTGTGGAAGTAAATCACTTACTTACTTACTTACTAGCTTTTCTATCCTGTCCCCTACAAATGTTTTGGGATGGCTTCCAATAAATAACCATGGACTTATAATTTAACCATGTGCTGGGTGAAGGAGGGCTTGCATCCATCTGTTTTGCATCTGCTATCCCTTTGGGATTTATTATTATGGGATAGGGGGAAATGCCTCCCTCTTCACTATCCCCAGCTGTCCACAATTCTATACACTTCAAGGTCCCCCCTTCCTCACCCTTTTCCCCAACCAAACACTCTCCAGTGTTGTAAGCTTTTCTCAAAGGGAGTTGCTCGGGCCCCGGGATCATTCTCACCCTACAATATCTTTTATTTTGGTGCATTGAACAGATAATCACACAGGTTTTAAGTATGGTCCCACCACAGATTAGTGCAACCAAGTCAATATTGCGGAATAATGGAATCTTCAGTCTAACAACTTCTGGAAAGTGACATATTACCCATCTGTAGGAGGACTGAATGTCTAACTATGTATTGTCTGATGCTCGTGTTTAAAGTCAGCCCTTTATTCCAAACCATGAGGACTGGAAGCTGTGCTATTTTTTGTGGAAGGAGGGTGGGTCACTGGTGGAGCTCCCGCTTTGCATGCAAAAGGTCTGGTGTGTCTAAGCAGAGCCAGGAAAGTCTCACCATACAAGGAGAGATCTCACCATACAAGATTCAGCTGGGTGTATGTCAGTCATTAATTTTCGATGGCCTGCAAGGACTTCCTCCAAAGTGGTTCCAATCATCACCTCCATCAAGTTATTAAGGGGCGAAAAGGTGCAGGGAAGCAACACTTCCACCATATTCTGACAGCACCTCCACAACCCAACCAAATGCACTCGGACCCCCGACCACGGTAAATTCCACCCTTCCGGAACTTTATCTCTGCCCGCACCCAGCAGCTCCTCAAACTCCAGTTTGGGCAGCGGTGCAGCACAGTAACATTCAGCAGGGCCCTGCCTCGGAGGCAACCTAATTTGTAGCCCATGGGCTATGCCAATTAACCACAGCCTCATGAGGCCTGGAACGGGGGAAACCGCTGCAACAGTGCCGCATAATGAGCGTGGCAGCTGGTCAGGCAGCTTGATGGTTGCCCCTGCAGGGCTGGCCTGTTCCCCAGCGCGCGGCAGAATTGCTCCTGCGGGAAGGTCGCTGGTCCCCAGCAGGCAGGTGCCGCGCTTGGAAGCCCAGTGGGCCCAGGACTGAGCCATGGCCTGGCCCACTGAGCTCCAGGACACGCAAGTGGCGTCCCCCACTGCCTTCATCACCCATGGCCAATTGTGTTTCACTGTCTCACAGTAAACTAACTTCAACTCCATTATTTGTTGTGACCAGGTGTTCAAAGGTTGCAGGGGTTCAGGGTGAGGTTTGTGGTCTGTGACTGCAAAACCCCTCTCGTCCTATGTTTAGTGGGTGTGAAAAAAGTCTGTTTTGCCCAGGAAACATTTTATTCTACCTATTTAATCACACTTTTAAAAAATCCTGCAGTCTTAACACGTTTGTGTGTTTTTTGGCTGAGGAGAGGCTGGAGCACCCATGCTCCTGTGGAAATCAGCCCTTTTATTTTGAACCATGAGGACTGGAGACTTAATTGATCTTTAGAGGCAGGGTGTGGAGCCTAGTGGCAAAGCAGAGGCATTGAAAATTCAGTCAACAGCTTGTCCAGGAAGCAGGGAGAGCGGAGGCGAACTCGTTTCTGAAGCTACGGACAGGTCACTGTGGACAGTGGGGGGTGGATGGCCTCACGGTTTGATTCTACATAAGACAGTTTCTTGAGGAAAATTAGTTTCATGCTGTGGTACGCCAAAAGTAAAGGTTCACCCATCCAGTTAGAAGGTTCAAGTGCACAGGAAATGCTTATAGGGACACCCATCAGTGTGGAAATTCAGAATCAGAAGAGGTGAGATTTCTGCATTTACTCTTCCACCTGCCCCTGGGAACAGAGCAGGGACTTTTTAAAAAGATGTATGTGCTAAAGAGGAAGACGAGATCTGCAAGGCTCTTTTCTTTACCCTTTTCTGCTCTTCTTCAAAGCCAGACATGTGGGCTGGTGGAAGAAAACAGTGAATTATGACTTCTTCCTTGGGCTAACACTCTTTTCACCCTGCAAAGTCCCTGACTAGGCATGAATGCCCAAATCTCTGCTCTAAGCCTGCAATTTTTGCACAACTCCAGAGTCTGAAGGGACCTTGGAGATCATCTGGTCCAACCCTCGTATGAGATAAGTTCCGTGGGGCAGAATTAAATTACTGCATCGTTGAAAACCCTCCAGTGAGAGAGAAGCCATTCTGTCCAAGGCAATCTGTTCTGCAGCTCTCACTGCTCCTTGGGAGTCAGCTCCCTTGAAATCAATAGGACTTAATGCTGAGTAGACAGAAATGGGGTTTTGCAATAACCGGCATCTGTGGGGCTCCATCCTGAAGTCCCATGGAGTCTGGCTAAACCTTGTATTAGAATACTCTCGTATATTTACTAATGGATATGTTCTTTCAAATGATCTCCGGGCTTCCTGGAAGTTAACATACAGCCAGTGCGAATGGATTTTCCACACCCTCCCAACAACTAGCAGTCTGAAATGGCAAGCTTGGAAGGATAAATGCTCGTCTCCTGTAATGCGTGGCGCTGAGGACTCAGGCTTTCAGTACATGGTGTTGCTTAAGAATGGGCACCTATATGCATATATGGTCAGTCTTTGACTGATATGGGGAATACATTCTAGGAGCTACAGCCTAGCACTGGGTCCCCAGCCTTTCTGGACCCATGGGTGCACTAGGGAATCGAGAATCTGCTAGGAGCACTGCCACAAATTGCCATGTTGGGGGACCACTGCTTTGGGGTCCACGTCTCATGATCCTGGCTGGGGTCCCACCCATGAAAGTTCTGATTTGTGTCCACTGGGCACTGCAAGGTCTAATTAAGGGGTGGCGGACCTGAGCACCTTGACTGGCCAGGCATGGCAGCTCCGTGCCTCTTTGGGGAGGAGGTTCTTGGAGAGATAAAATCTGTACTGGAACAACCTCTCATATTCACAGATGTTTACACTCTTTTAAATTATCTACTTGCTGCATGGAAAATAGAGAATGGGCAGTGTAAATGGTCTTCTGTCCAATGGATTTGATATTGATATTACAGCACTGGAAATGCTCACCCTGTAGGGTGCGAAGGATTGAGGATCTTACAACTATTGCAGTATATGTATGGGTGACTCGCACATGGATTGCTGTAAGGTCGATCTTTGCTGAAGCTTCTATATTATTGCTATATTCAAATTCACATAGCCATTTTTGATTTTTCATATTCCTCTCTTCTTTCTTTTCATGGCTTTCTCCTTGAAACCACAATAAAGAACAAACCTAAAAAAGCCCTACTGAGTTCCATAAAGACATGAAGAACTGCAGATATTATACCTCGGAGCAAGCAAGTCAAAACTCCCCCAGGGCAAACTCAAAGCAGCCCAGTTTCAGGGCTTTACCTCTGAGGACCGTGAGTTTAGCGCTGACGGTGATCTCGGCAAGAGAATTCTGGGCCACGCACTCGTAAATGTTTTCATCCCTTGGGGTGCGGAGAGGCTGGATTCTCAAGACAGCTCCTGCCCCTTCATCAAATTCGATTGTCTGAAGGAGGGAGAGAAGACGGAATTAACAGGATAAGGTATTTAAGGGTTTGATATTGTTTTTCATTTAGTAGTTATCTTGCCCATGGTAATTCCTTCCTCTATTTTGCTATACCAGGCCGAGAGTATTTTTAGAGGGATGTGGAAGGGAAGAAAACAAAAAGGATGGAGTGGAAAAGGCTGCATGCATTCCATAGATAAATGGCTTTTTGCTATTTCCAGATATCACAGAAATGCAGCTGATCACAAGCATGGATTGGCCTGGTTCTTACAGCCTGGCAATCCGCACCCAGTTCATGTTCAAGGTTAATTATGTATTGCATATAGAACCGTGGGTTGTTGTGTAGCATGATCCACCTGTGCTAGCAAACCATGATTTGGGAATGCCAAGCAACCCACAGTTCCTAACCCAACATTGAACAGGGGTTTCCTTCACAAGATGCTTGTGGTCAACAAGCCAAGGCTTGTAAACATTACTGAGTTCAGTTCAATGACAACCTACATACAATCCATGCTTAACCCTGACTTTGAGTTGAACACGGATTGTCGCATTGTGCGGACCCAGGTACTCTCTTTATCTTTTATGTCATACTGGGAGTCAAAAGCCAGAACCTGGCCCTGAACCGGTGATGAGGAATCTCAGAGAGTGGACACTACCAAGGAAAGGAACTGCAGGGACAGCAGTCAAGGAGACAGCTTTGAACTGCAATGGAACATGGAGATATTCCCTGATTCTAATAAAATACCTTCTCTGCCCTCTGGCCTTGCCACTTCAAGGGACCACCCCCTCAACTGCACAGAGTAGGTCTTCCACTCGCTGACTGAGGAGCCAGTCCTTAGCAAGAAGACCTGCTGAACTCTTGCAAAGCTTCTGATGTAAGCTGTTGACCTCTTGCAAAGCTCAGTTTAATTCTTGCAAGGTCCTATAGTTTAAAGAGTTGCATGACTGGGCTACCGTCTTAGCAGGACACAGCAGCTTGAAAATATGAGGTGCTGGTACTTTCTTCCAAAAGTACTGAAATGGTAACACCTGAGTGAGAGACGATGTGGCTTGCAAGTCAGTGCCAGGGTGCTGGCACCGTTCCTGATGGTCTTGAGCATGTGTGAGTTTGGGAGGGGGTGGCTCTGCCCCGTCAGACAATCCTAGCAGCCCCCCAGCACACAGGCATCAGGCCTAGGGCGGGGGGAGCCAGGGCGGGGAGCCTGGTAGCAGAATGGTGCAGTAGCTTTACTCTGCCAAGTCTCAAATGAAACGTGGTCTTCCGCTTGCGTGCTGCCAAGGAGACGTGAGTGGAGGACAAAGCAGGAATGGAACCTCTGCCGGAGCACTCTGGATGTATTGGACTGTAGCTCTCATCATCCCCACTGGACAGAGAGAGATGGGGCTATAGCTCCTAATACCTGCAAGACCTCCAAGTTGCCTCCCCTGAAGAATTTCCCACTGGGTTTCTGACTCCCTACAACACAAGTGGCATTTCTGAATGTACAAAATCCTTCTCCTCAGGAACACAAAAGCAGAAAAGCTGACAGACTGGGAGGAACACCAGAGATCAGTGACTGCAGTCTTGTTCTGCTTCTGCCTTTCATTTCACAACAACCCTGCAAGGTAGGCTGAGGAGTGACCAGGTGGTAGTTGCTCCTTCTGCTCACATTAGGGATGGGCAGATCGATCAAACTTAATTTTGTTTAGGTTTCATTGGACCAAGGCTCCGATCTGGATCAATTCCAGATATTGGAATTGACATTTTTAAAAGAACACATTTCCTTGTGCATTAAAAAAAACCTCACTTCTGCACCCATTTTCTTCACACTTTTGTAAATGTATGCATTCCTCAAACATTGGCATTCCTTGCCCCCCTCCCCACTGAATTATGTGCCTTTCTTTGGAAAACTGTGTGTTTCAAGCACAGTTTTGGTGTATGTATCACAAGGTTCAAAAACATACAAATTCCACTGGTAAATAAAATCCTCGTTTGTGTTTAGTGTGCTAATGTCAGACTTATCTACCTAAAATTCAAGGCTGAATGGGGATTTGCCCCGTATCTCCCTATTTCAGCATCTTCTTTTTGCCCCATTTACTCATTTATTTATAGCTTTTATATTCTGTCTACTACAAGCATTTCAGGATGGTTTTACAATAAAAACAACACAGAATAAAATGGAGCACAGCATCCAAAACTTCCAGTAAATAAAATCCACCTTAAAGCCTATTAAACATTAAAATAATGGGCAAATAAAAAGGTTTTCACCTGGCGCTGAAAGGAATGAAGTGCTGGTGCCAGGCAAACCTCTCTGGGGGGCGTATTCCATAATCGGGGCCCCACCTCCCATGTTTTTGACTTGTACGTAACTCATGGATTGATCAAGAACAATGTTCAGTGTAATGTCCCCCTGGATTAGACCCACCAAAATGAGCAGGGCTAAAGTTAGTCAGGACTAACGAGTTTCCTGTTGCATCCCCAAAGGCTTGCTGCAAATGAGAATCATGCTGCCTTCTACAGATGTCACCCCATTTTTTTCTATGGGGGCCACTCACCTCGAATCGCTGCGAATTCACCTTCTTCCCCTTCTTGTTCCAGGTGACTCGGGGCTTCGGTTCTCCGGCTGCTTGGCACACGAAGGACGCCACCCCTCCTGAGACCCCAATCTGGTCCAAGGGGCTCTTGATAAACTGTGGGGGACCTATCCCCACAAGAGGGGAGGAAGGAGACAGAGAAGAGGGAGAGGTTGGCCACAGTGGCAGGTGCGATAAGTGCAGCACCCCACCAGCACCAGGGACCACAACCGGCTCATCCGATGTGTGGGATGAGAGGGGGGTGGCAGGGACGAGCAGCCTCGCCTGCAAGAAGCCCCCTGGCCTGCACGCATCCATGGACACAATGGCGCATCTCACAGCTATGCGAGGCCAGCCATTCCCAAGAGCGACAGACGGAGGCTTTACGATTTGAGCATCGCTGCTGCTCCGCTTTGGTTTTGTCTTTCACTTAGTTTTGAAAAAAGACCCTAAAACTTGGAGCACAGCTGTGGCTTTGCTATTTAAGAATTTCCGTAAATTTTCAGCTAACCAGAGGGGAGGCGAATGGGACAGGAGAGCAGTGAAGGGTGTGCGAGATAATGAGGACAAGTTCCTTTCAGCCCAGCTTAGATCTGCAGGGTTTTACCATGACCCCTGAGCGGAATAAGTCCTGCCCGCCACTGGCCCATGTGCCTCATCTGGTGCAGTTGTAACATTTAGTCCCACCGCACTGTGATGGAGAGACTGGACTCTTTTTCCAGGTTTGCACAGACCTGTGGAAATTTACAATTAAGCAACTGGCATTTTCTCCCATTAAAAACACACTTTGAGATGTTCATGGACCCAGGAGTTGTGCTGGGGTCCACAAAAATCAGTGGACAAACATATTCTAACCCACATGTCCTGGAAAAACACTCAGGAAAAAATGTACAGGAGAAAACATGCCCACCTGGAAAATTCAAAAAGCAGGCAGGCCAGTGGTTAAAGCAAGTTCTGAGCCACACGCCCACAAAACATGCTCAAGAAAAAATGGTCAGGAGGGGGAAGAATGTTCGGGGGGGATGTCCATATGGGAATGTTCAGAACACACGAAAGCTCATGTACAAATAAAGTCTGAGCCACATGTTCAGAAAAAAATGTTCAGAAAACAGCATCCATCTGGCAATATTTGGAAAGCATGAAAAACACCAGGCCCACAGGTGCTGAGCCACATGGCCATCCAGGAGGTATTGCTCAAGTCAGCAAAGATCTGCTACCTGAAGATTTTGTAGCTCAGAGACCCCTCTCCCTGCCAGGTGCATCCGGCTATCCAGTTAAAAAGGCCCCTCCCCTTATCCCCCAGCAGCTGAATTTCTGGAGGGAAGGCACAGAGTTGGGGTGCTTATTGTGCCACACTGAGAGGTGTTCTCTGATGGATTAGCAGAGAACAACCCCCTCTTAGAAGGGCTTTTTGGTCCACATCCAGTTTCTCGAGCAAGACCCTAACGAGGGAGAGCAAAAGGGTGTCTCAGCTGCCTACCCCAGGTTGTTTCAAACTGCATGCATGCTTTTGCCCATTATTGGATGGCCAATTTGCAGCCGTGGGCACCCAGAGCAATGCCCAAAAGGCCTCGGGGCACCATCTCTGCTTCAGGAGGTCAGAAGTGCCAGGAACCTGCCGCAGTCCTGACCCAAGCAGGGGACTGATTAAGAGGTCCTTGCAGCTCCATTTATGCTTTCGCACACCTGTCCCACGACCCGCTGCTTCCCCCTTTTCTCAGCCAAATGCTTTTCCTTGCCAGTAGAAAAAGAAACAAAACCTATTTTTTGGATCTCTAAATTATACCTGCTCCCTCTTCATCCAACACTTCCAGTTTTATTACGAGTTAAATGGGGACTGGAGTCTTTCCATTCATAGGTAAAAGAGTGCGCTTCCGAGCCCTTTTGCAATGAGACTTCAGCAGAAACTTACCACTCAGCTACTCCAGAGTTAACACTCAATTGGCCTGTCGTATAACTGAGCCTGGATTTAATGTTCTCTCTCTCAATGCATTCAATAAAGTACATTTATATCCCAGTTTTGCTCCAACAGTTTTAAGGCACAGTATATGTCCTAATCCCACTTTTATCCCCATGGTCAGAGTGCTAAGGACTCTCCTGAAAGGATTTAAAACAACAGTGTCAGGAAGGCTGCACCGTAATGCCTAGCAACTGGAAATGAAAGAATCAGTGAATATGACAGGATGTTCACCTGGTGACAGGTAATCCTGTTGGAGAAATTCACAATGAACTCAATTTAGTTTGAATTTCTAAGAATCCAGGCTAGGGATTCTGCAGCTGAAAGCCTTTCAAGAGCCATGTGGACATGCAAACTTTTTAAACTTCAAATAATTTTAGTTTAATTGCAGAAAACTATGCAAACTGTTAATTAAAAAACACTGGCCTAACCCCACCTGTATTTTTCCCATAAACTAGAATGGGAACATAGGTATATTTTCAGGAATCCACAGAATTGGGGAGATTCCCACATTTTTGGGATTGTAAATTTGTATAATCCTGAATTTGTGCAAATGTGCGAGAATGGATTTGTGAAAAATCAGATTTGATTATCGAATGAGTAATGGAAAGAAAGGCACCTAATGATCCATGAAATAAAGATGGGATGGGTTTTTTCTAAGTGGGAGTTACATGTTTGTGTTTTCCCACATTTGAGCTAGATCTGAGAACGAAACAGGGTTACATATACCGTGCCCCTTCCTGAAAATCCTGGAATGCGTGGGGTGCTGAAGATACCATGCAAAATTCCCAGATACTCTTGGATAGAAGGAACCGCTGTGAAACGGTGTCCCATCGCCATACCTGGACTTCGTGTGACAGAGGAAGAACAGAGGCGAGGGTAAAAAAATTAAGTAAAATAAAAATGAAACTTGTCCCGATTTTACAGGTTTGGAGCAAAGGGGTCTCTGAAACCTGCAGAGGCTTCTGGGAGGCACGTGCCCAGCCAAGAGAGGGTCTTTTTCCTCACTGCCACACCTCCCTTTAATGCAGGGGATGGTCCCACTTGTGTCTGGGTTGCACTGTCAACACGTACTGAGGCTGAGTAAACAATTCACCAAGGGGCTCAAAGGAGCTGCTCGGCCACAGTGGCTAAGAAAATAACAATAAAAATCTTCCAGCAACAAAGGACACTCTCTAGCCAGAGACTGCGAACAGCACAAATTTCGGTATTTCAAAGCAAAGAGTGAAATAGCTTTCCTATTCTATTGTTGGCCTGCTCCGTCAGCATTTGCAAATCATTATCATGACCGGCGCCCGCAGCTGAAATTCTGCTGACCCAAGGAATGTGTGGGATGAGGAGACTTAAAGTGCTGTGTGGGTAAAAGTCGACTGAGAAATGGGGCTGGAATGAGAGGAAAACACTGGACTTGAATCCGGCATCTACAGGTCAGGGGAAAAGTCAGGAAGATAAGCTAAGCGCAGCTTAGACTCTTCCTGGGTTCTTGCTGGTTATAAAGCCTTCTGATTGTGCCTCATGAGAACTAGAAACTCCATGCTTGAATTTGTCAGTGCAGGACAACTTGGTATTATGAGGGGGGTCACAGCTCAAATTTGGAAGAGGACTTGGAGATCATGGCCACAGCTTCTTCTTGGACTTGGAAACCTGAACCAGTCCTCTTCAACTCTTAACATCCATGCTACACACCTCAATCACCAACCAGTCAACACCACATTTAGTTTGCCGCCCAGAAGTCCATCTTCAAATCGCATCCAATCTTGCCCTGCTTGCACCCCAAACCTTTCCCATGCATTCCCCGCCCTCTTGACTGTGCTTTCTCAGTGGAAGCTCTGATGGGTAATTGGGCTTCATTTGTGGGGCAAAATATACCTGTATCTTATTATTGCTGCTAATGCGTATTGTGTTATGTATTATATTGCATTATGCTTTGATGTCGGTGTGAGCTTAGGTGGACTCCGGAGGATGGTGGAGGACAGAAAGGCCTGGAGGGGTGTTGTCCATGGGGTTGCCATGGGTCGGATGCAACTTTGCAACTCACAACAATGCTTTGATAGTATGCATTTCTGATATTATTCTGATATTTGGATTATATTATTGTACCGAGTTTTGTCTTGATTTTGCATTGCTTATGGTTATATACCGTATTACTTGGCATATATTATTGTGCTTGTATGGAACATGCATTTTCTTGTTCTTGTTGTAAGATTGCCTGTGCTGAATTTTGGCCAGCGTAATTTTAATTTGCTTGGTTTTGCTATTTTTTTTAATGTGTACGTGCCACTTCATTCCAGGAATGGACTGACTAGAAAACAGCTCTTAACAAAGGCGGATCAGTATGACTCAAACAAAGCTCCTGTATTGTACACTGGATGCAGAAACACTGCAAGATTCATTTAGAACTGGATGTGAACCAAGTTGGCTGGGCTCACACCTCACCTCCACCAACTACACAACCACGTGCTGACTTGGGAGACTGTGGTGCCATGGCTGGACCAAGGGCCTTCCTGCTGTTGTTGAGCCTCAAGCCCCATGCTCCTTGGCCTGCAGGGACAGGAGGATGGGAGTTGAAGAGGACCATCCCAGGGAGACCGAGCATTTGTACACTACAAGCAATCCTTGTGCAATGGCAACTTTCTCCTGGCTTGACTCTGCGCATTTTCAGCAGCTACACATTTGTGCACAAGAATGCTAGGAAGTGCACTCAACAAGGAGCTTTTTGTGTGTGATAACACTGATTTTTTCTGTGTGGCCGGGCAGTCTTCCCTCCTTCCAGTGCCACATAGAAAATAAACAAATACATATAGTGATAAGAAGGATGTTTACATCCCCATTTTTCTTCTGAGCAGGAGAAAAAAGCAGCAACAAAACCAGTAAATTACAATGATTTGGCTGTCAGGCCCATCTCCCTCCACCATGTCGCCTTCTTGTCACAAAAAGTCCATTAGGAGTAATCTTGGTGTTGGTGGCAGGAAGGAGACAAAGTGGGGACAGACGCATGTATGGAGAGAGCAAAGCCATTCTGCTAACCAACAGAACCTCGTTCTGCCGAGAGAGACAAGATAATTATGGGCTGCAGAGGAAGAAAACATACAGAGCGTGCTCTTCTTACTGACTCCAGCTTTTGACTCCCTTTGAGAAAAAGTTGGGGAAAGTGCTGGGAAGAAAAAGCAG